AGAAATTAAATTTTACTTCATCTAGATCCACTATTTAACTTTTTTCGTTTTTATATTTAGATTTTTTTCCTGTATTATGTTTTTTTATATATATAATTGCAAATAAAATCAGGCAGTTAGGGGATAACAATATTGACAAAAAATTATTTATTTCTCAACAGTTTGGCTTCTCAACACAACACAATTAGTGATAGTGAAAGTAGTAATTTAAGTCAGTTATTTACAGGGTTTGTACACATTTAACTATTCAATTCAAATTACTAAAGTTACAAACATAAGCTTATATCAAGTGTTACAAATAAATATAAAATTTTATATCTAAACATATTCATCAATCTGCTGACAAGTGTTTATTTAATAGCTGGTATACTCTGATCATTAGCAGGCCCCTGTGGGTTAGAATAATAGCAGGTAAATGTTACCTCTCCACTGCGCTCTCCCAGCCTGAGAAAAATCCGTCGCCGGTTTTGCTGCCGCCAAAGCAGTCAAAGCCGACTCCCCACCTCCAATAACAAGTAAAAAAAAAAAAAAATTTCCATATCTATTTTTTGTTTTTGTTGTTTTTTTCCGTGTTTCTCAAGCTGTCTGATTTTGTTTGGCGCTGTTTTTGGGGTACCGGTAAACGTGATGACGTCGTGTGGCTACCAGGAAGTGCTCTGAAGGCTAGACCGTCCCATTTACCAACGGCTAAGGATCCTCCGGAACAGCCTCCCAAGGCTGGGTCCTCCGGAGGCTAGGTAGGCTGGGTCCTCCGAAGTATGCAGCCTGCGAATTGAGACGCAGCTTTTGTCTACTTCGTAGACCTACTTCGTTCGAAGAGGTCTTCGAACATCGTAGGCTCCAAGTATGTGCCTACGATCTACCAAGTATAAGCTTCTTATGTTCCTTGATGGTGAGGGGTACCTGTACCTGCTGGCTGGATGCATGGTTGGGTACTTAAATGGGTGCTGTCTCATTCGTGGTTGCTGCCGGGCCTGTCCCGTTCCTTCTTGCCCTGTTGAGTCTCTGATGGGGAGTGGTACTGTAGGCCCCCCGGGCTCTAATCCAGATCTTACCTTTTATGCGCCTTCCCTCTTTCCTGTCTCCATCTCTTTCTCTCTCACCTTAGTTCCTATCCCCTCTTTCTTTCTCACCCCCCTTTCCATCTCTGTGTCTGTTGTATTTGATTTTACTCCCTAAATTATTTCAAATAAAGTTTCATATACAATTACCAAGCAGAAACTTATGGCTACAGTCATAATGATCTGCAGATCTATTGGACTTTCATCCAGCTCTGGAACATCTGTTCTCATACTGGCATTACAGGAAACAAGATAAACAAAGAAGTGCCTTATTGGTGTTTTCTTTACTACTCCAGTATGGGTGGTTGTTGTGGGTAAAAATGTGGTGTTTCAATGTGTCGCTTTTGTCCGGTTCCAGAGTAGTCGCACGGCCAGAGATCACGCCCTGACAGAGAGCGACAGTGAACAGATGAGACAGCTGAGTAACAGGGACCCTCTGTCAGAAATCACAGAGCAGGAGAAAGACTTCCTTTGGAGACACAGGTAAGTAACTGGTTGACATAGAAACCACATGATGTATCAACACATAACAATGATCTGCTTCCTCTTCCTCTGCCAGGCAGTATTGTATACACATCCCTGCAATCCTACCCAAGATCCTTCTCGCTGTCAAATGGAATTCCAGAGATGAAGTAGCACAGGTAAAAAAAAACATGCTCCCATTGTCTGTAATGTCTGTTCCTCAAATAAGTTAGAAAATACTAAAGCTAGTTACCTTAGCTACAGAAAATATGGTCTTTTCAAATGCCAAAATAAATAAATCAATCCCTATTATGTTGTTAACTAATTGAAGCAAAGCAGTGGATTGCTTACTACTGTGTGTGAATTTTTGGCCACACATTCAACTCTTTAAAAAAACACAAATGTTGATACTTTTTTACCTTTTTGGTCGCATACTGAACACAAAAACATACGAAAGCACAAGAAAGTGGAGACATGCCTCACTTGAGGTCTCCATCGGCTGATCCAAGAAGAAAGAACGCAGAGTGAATAAAGAAGGTCAGCAGAGCAGACACCAGAGGCTGCAGACACATGTTGTGCCTTACTTATGAACATATGAAATAAATTTTAAGATCCTTTTATCAGAGGTGTTCATCATGCAAACGAAAAATGTGAGTTATAGCTATGGGTGAAAGTCACCCTTTGGGGCAAGATTTGCTGCTTGGCGGAGGTCTGCGATCAAAGTGCCTTTTTTTTTTCATCAATGTATTGTTGTTCCTTTCATCATTTAAGTCCAGTTATATAATTTCTTTAGTGTGTAAAGAATTTTCATGTTCCTTTTTTGTTCTTTTTAATCTCTGTCAGATGTACTGCCTGCTGGAGGAATTGCCATATATCCCTCCAGAACAGGCCATGGAGCTGCTGGACTGTAACTACCCAGACCCCAGGGTCAGGCACTTTGCTGTTCGTTGCCTTGAGAAATACTTGACCGATGATAAACTCTCCCAGTATCTGATCCAGCTTGTTCAGGTTGGTTTTTGTCAAATAATATATAAATGAATCCTGGGTTTTACTGTTCAATCAAATGGAACTCTGTCTTGGTTTGTTTAAAGTCGTAGGGATATGGCTGTTCCAACCGTTGCATTTGCGAGTTCTCCCAACTGGTGCACGATTTACATGAGTGAATAAAGTGAATGTGATTGGTCATTTATCAAGAGGGCGGGATTGTTGTGGCGGAAGATTCGCATGCATTTGATTGTGGCCGGTTTCTCGGAAGCATCTTGTTAACCAGTTAGCAACTTGTGCTAGTAGGTTCGCAACTGGAAATTACATTGGGACCAAGGAGGACTAAATTGGTGACTTAGCAACGACACTGTCAATGACAATATGGACAACGGAAACAGCAAGAGGAGGCGAGTTTTGAGTCGGAGGTCATGGATGAGTCTCCTTCGTCATACATTTTTTACTTAGAGGAGGAAAGTTGGGACGAAGATGTTGTGAAGGAGGACGCCAAGGTGGCAGAAGCTTCGTTTGGTGTAGGAGGGTTACAGCCGTACATGTTTGAGCCCTTGCCTCTTAACGCAGTTCTGTTAGTTCTACGCCTGCCGAAGACACAGACGTCCATCCCCGTGAACACGTTTAGCTTCCCTCTGAAAGGTGCTTTGTGAAAATCCCTGCAGGTAATTTCCTCAACAAAGAGATTGCAGGAGCAGGAAATGTTTGACCGTTGGTATCATTGATACATTTTGTATTTTATATCCTGAGGTAGAAGCTAAAGTACCGATTATTATCTATGGCCTCTGCTTATTGCTACTACATTGATGATGTCATTGCATGTTTATTTCTTTGAATTGGTACTCATTTTTGACAGGTTATATAAAATAAAGTTTAACACCAATGAATTGTACCACAAAGATCAGATTAGATAGATTTTATTGATCTTACAGTGGAGAAATTAATTTTTCGTTATTCATTTCGGTTGTCAAAAGTAGATGCCAAAAGGCAGGAACGGTGCATATATACATATTTAAAAGGATACATATATACGTATTTAATAGGATTAATGCACAGGTTATTATTACATAGTAATTGCAAATTAGTTATTGCATAAGTTATTGCAGTTATGAGGGTGCATTGTAAAGTCTCATGGCAGCAGGGATGAATGACCTGCGTTAGCGCTCATTTTTACAAGCAGTGCATCATAGAATGACTGACTGACAACCATTTCTTCTAGGTATTAAAGTATGAGCAGTATCTCGACAGTCCATTAGCTCGCTTCCTCCTCCAAAAGGCCCTGACCAATCAAAGAATAGGACATTTCTTCTTCTGGCATCTCAAGTGAGTCATCTTTTTATTTCCTGCATGTCTTTTCAGTGGAATTGAAACAGGTATTGCATCTTTCTTATTCCTGTTCTGACATCAATCTGTGTTTTGTTTTCTCAGGTCAGAAATGCACAATAAAACCGTGAGCCAGAGGTTTGGGTTGCTTCTGGAGGCTTACTGCAGGGCCTGTGGCATGTACCTGAAACACCTGAGCAGGCAGGTTGAAGCCATGGAGAAGCTCATAAATCTTACAGACATCCTCAAACAGGAAAAGAAGGATGAGACTCAAAAGGTAAGACACCCGGAATACATGGACATTTTTCTTTAATATATAGAGATTCTTCATACGGAATGGGAATATTTCAAGATTATTTATATTTCCAGTTAGAGTTTCCTATGCATCCATCTGTTCATCCATTTATGTGCCCATTCATTTTAATTTTATTTCCATTATTTATAGTCAAAACAAATGGGTTCTCAACAGGTAAACGTAATTCCAACCACTCATTCAAGCTGTTATTAAAATCCCCATGGCATATAAGTAAAAAAAAAAAAAACTTGCATAGCTTAATTTTGTTATGGTAGTTATTTTTATTGCTTTGTGCTTTTAACTTTGCAGCTTTTGTTCACATGAAGCCCGCTGAATCCTTAACATCATTGTGAACGGCTGTCTGCCACCACCATATGGTGGTTTTAGAAGATAACTGTTTGCAGTTGATGGCAGTTGTAGCTTTTTGGTTCACTTCATCTTGAAGAGAAACATAGATAAACAAATGAGCTCTGAGCCAATACTAAAATATGTCTTGGACAAAAAAGATTACATACAGGTGGTGATGGGAGTTGCTCATTCAGAAGCGTTGAGGTGGGATTGACAGACAGAGGGAAAAATGAACAAAAGCTCAGCTAATAGCCTGCTCAAGAAATGTCCCCACTAAGCTGGTCAGGCCAGGTGTAGCTACCTGATGGGAAAAGCGGAGAACATTAAGGTCTCACTGTTAGCAACACCAGATGATGCGTATTTGGAGATTAGAAGAGTTAGAAAAAGTGGTCAATATTTCCTCTAGCATCCTAATAGCACACCTACAAAGCTATCAAAGCCACAACATTTGTAAGCTTTATCAAAAAGGAAAGTTATAAGCCTGTCTTAAAAGCAAACGGGGTGTTTGCCAACAACTGAAACTGGAAGTTGAGAGGCGTTTAGAGGCTTTCGAAGCTAGCAGCAGAAACCTGCAATCTAAGCCATACTGTCCAGCCCTAATAAGAACCTTTAAAAATTGCGTCTGAGTAATATAGATTTAAAAACCATGTATGTATAGAAAACATAAGTGTAAATGTTTGTTCTGATGTGTTTGTGAAGGTCCAGATGAAGTTTCTTGTAGAGCAGATGAAGAGACCAGACTACATGGATGCTCTGCAGAACTTCACCTCTCCTCTTAACCCTGCACACCAGCTTGGAAATCTGAGGTCTGAAACTTGTTGTCATGGGGTCCCTTAGGCGACTTTCACACCGCAAGCTACTGCGGCTAAAATTCACTTTAGTTATGTTTTTATTTATACTCATATTTGTCCCATATCTGAATACTTCTTGGCAGTCTAAATAGCAAAATATTTTTTCACCCCTAATGAAATACAGACAGTGCCTCTTCCATATATTTTTACTAAAATTGGACATGTACACTGCAAAAACATACTTAAAATGAGTAAAATTTTCTTGAAATGTATGTATTTACCCTAAATTTTAGTAGGAAATTTAGATGATCTGACAATGGACTGAGCATTTTTACCTTAAAATAAAATTATTGGATTGGAATAAGAGACTACAGTTGTTTGTTCTTATTTAAAATGGTAATTGTATTATTCCATTGGCCAAGTGTCTCATTTACCTTCTCAATTTAAGCAAAAAATGCACCAATTTTAAGAAAAATAACTTTCTTAGATTAACATTTTTTGCAGTGTATGTAATAGTTTTTGTAACATCCCAAATTTGTATGAACATGCCACATTTCATCCAGTTTTCACGTCATTGCTCTGGCTTCCACTGCCGCATAGACGTCTGTTCAGATGTAGCAGTCACTGTTTCACAACAGCCGGTTTCAAAAAGCAGCGAGAGTTTTGTTCTCTTCTTTCCTACCTTTCTTCTTCTATGATGTGGTTTGACAGGACTACTATCGGCTTCTATTGCTGTAAACTCAGTAATGACTTAGAGACTCCAACATCCATAATTACTTCAGTAAAAGCTGTTTCTATGTGTGACTAGATTCTCCTAGACTAGATTGCTTCATGGTGAACCAGTGATGAAAGTTATCGATTAGTCAGTCTAAAGTTGTTTATCGATTGACAAAAAAACAAAACAGGTTTTCTCTTGTTTCAAGAAGATTTTTCGATAACATTGAAGAGCTGAATATTTGTTTGCAATATGCTGAATAAAAAAATAAAAAAATTAGTGCATCATTATATTTTAACAATTTACCATCTCAGCTGTATTAAATGCTGACTGAATAGGCAAGTAAATCTTTTCTTACACATTATTAAGATGGACCTATTTTGAAAATGTAACAGAACAGGAAGCTTTCAGCTTAATAAATAGAGATTAATAAAATACATAAAACTAATTTCTGATGCACAGAGATATAAAACTGTCATTTACAGGCAGGGTATGTTGCTTGTTTTAATAAATGAGATGGTAATTGTGATGTGGCTCTCTGATTTTAGCGTAATCCTATATTTAATGCTGGGGTTTTCTCTGTGCTGCAAGCAGCGCCATAATTGGGCGCTGCCTAGACATTAACCTTACATGTAGGAGTTGATTGAATGTTTATAATTAGAAACTTGCGTTCTGCACCCTTGTCACCAAAGGACCGACACTCTGGATTGCATCCCTCTGCTGTGGCATTACTTCTTTAAATACCAGTAAGCCTTAAAGTGGACAGTGGCCCTCTAGTGAACAGCCGTAATATTACAACACTCATAGAAAGTGGATAGTATAAAGTAATTGGATGGAATAAATTATAATCTAATAAACCATGAAACAATTAACAATTAATAAAGTTAATTTATTTATTTACATCCCTATTGTGAACTTGTCAGAGTTTTCTCTGATAATAGGAGCATATATAAATGTCAGTATGAAAGAACACTTAAAAAAGAAAAAAGGAAATCAGATTTTGGTTAAAAAAAACAACAACAAAAAAACCTTGAACATCAAGACCTGCTGTATGAACGTACCAAAATTATCTTGAAGATTTCTATGGAAAATAATACCTTTTATCGAGTAAACTGGGTGATCAGAACTGTGATGTTGCTTAACACGTACAAACGTTTTTCATTTCTCAGGTTAGATGAGTGCAGGATCATGTCATCAGCAAAGAGACCACTGTGGCTCAACTGGGAGAACCCCGACATCATGTCCGAGTTACTGTTCCAGAATAATGAAATCATCTTCAAAAATGGCGACGGTAACAATGAGACACAAGCATGCGCTTCACTAAGCCTTAAGAAACCTACAGCAACACACGTCCACTCCAGATGCTTAAAGTGTACATGACAACATATTATGATATATTTGATCGATTAATGAAAAAAATGAACTAATTGTGTAAACTGATGTATAGATAGACTCTAAAATATTCCATTTCCTGAAACAAAAAAAAATAACATTGGGAGCTGAAATTAAACCTGTGATGTACAAACATAAGCTCTGCCCAGAACTCCTCAGGTGGTATAACTTCAGTTTCAACCAGTTCAAGTGCTTTTTTTAAATTTGCTAATTGAAAAAAGTAAAAAAATGACTAATTTGAAACTTCATTCATTTTTCTATGTAAATGGCCGTTTTAAATAAATTGTAGTGTTGTGAGAGATCAATTCATTTACAGTTAGTGTAAAATCTCATTGCAAATGTGTTAAAAAATTTTTGCATTGTTAATTCAATAACAGTAAATCTCTATAATTAATCAGTTATTTTAAACTAATACTAGATTGTCAATTTCTAAAATAATTTATAGCTACAGCTTTACATATAAGAGATGCAACTACTGTTGAAAACAGGACTAAAATTCAACTGCAGGAAAGTAGGAAATTTGTTTCTTTAAAGAAGGTTTTAGAGCCCAGATGTTGCGACTTAATATGTTTGAAGTCCTTAAAGGAAAACCAGGGGCTTGTGATTTACTAAATTCCAGCTATAAATAAATCTATATTGGCTCCTGGTTTATGAATAATTTGTTCCATAATTCATTATATCAATGACTGCAATGCTGTATACCTGCTCTACAGTGTTTTTTGACTTTTGGCTTTATCTTGGTTGGGTTTATCTGTAACTCTTTGTGTGTATGTTGCAGATTTGCGGCAGGATATGCTGACGCTGCAGATAATCAAGATCATGGAGAACATTTGGCAGAATCAGGGACTGGACCTACGGTACAATAATCTCTGATGGCGACATTTCTCTGAGTTCTGATTTCAGAACTTTGGTCTCATCAGATATGCTTTATGCGTCTTCAGGATGTTGCCCTATGGCTGTTTGTCATTGGGAGACTGTGTGGGTCTAATAGAGGTGGTTCGAAACTCCCACACCATCATGAAAATTCAATGTAAAGGAGGTTTGAAGGGAGCCTTGCAGTTCAACTCCAACACTCTCCATCAGTGGCTCAAGGACAATAACAAAGGAGAGATGTGAGTTCTAATTGACCTGCTCTGGATTCCTATAAAGATGTAGTTGGAATGATTGACTGATGTGTGTTAGATGTGTTTCAGCTCTTCAGTGTTATTAACATGACTTTCTGATGCAGATTTGTGGGGTTTTTTTTGTGCAGGTATGACATGGCTGTGGATCTGTTTACAAGGTCGTGTGCTGGCTACTGTGTAGCTACATTTATTCTGGGCATAGGAGACAGACACAACAGCAACATTATGGTCAAAGAAGATGGACAGGTAACATGTTAGAACATACACATAAAAAAAAAATTAAGCAACATGTTTTAGGAAAATGGCGTGCAGTATCTTTAAAAAGATTCATGAGTTCTGGCATTTAGCCTGATGTTTTAAAAACTCGATTTTAAGTTTTCTAAACCCCGAGACAACCCTTGGCTCAGCTTCATAAAGACCTAGATGCAGCTGATGATAAACAGACTTGTTGTCCTCTGGATGTACAGATCAAGCTTTTGTTAAGTTTACTTTCAGTAAAATGTTACCAGGTGAGCTGAGATTCTCTGCTTTGCTTTCTTTAGTTGTTTCATATAGATTTTGGCCATTTCCTGGATCACAAGAAGAAGAAATTTGGCTACAAGAGAGAGCGAGTCCCTTTCGTTCTGACACAAGACTTCCTGATCGTCATCAGTAAGGGATGCCAGGAGTACACAAAGACCAAAGAGTTTGAGAGGTGCTTTATAGTTTTACTTATGTTATTCTTTATCTATATCATACCTGCTGTAGTTTTTGAGTTTGGGATCTTTGAATCAACTAAATTAATGTTGTTTTGCAGCTAAACTGTATGAATTGTTTATTAAGGATGATACTTTCACGTAACAGTGCAAATTCTGACATTTTTAGGTAAACATATTTAGTTCCTCAATATTTGGCCTAAAACTGTCACAATGCTGACCTCTGGGTTGAAACATGGCTATTGCAACAGATCTTTCCTATTTGTTCAATTGGTACCTGTATAAGTAGCTTGGTACAGGAGCAAAAGCCTGTAATGATCTTTTTAGCTGGTTGATTTCGAGCTGAACCGGCCAGTGTTTAGTTTTTTTTTGTTTTTTTTTTCCTACACCATATAACCACTTAAGAATACTCTTGAATTTGAAGTTTTTTGTAGATAAAGTTTGTATATGAGACTGCTGGATTTGAAAGCATGATTTTGCCTACATTTAGGATCATATTTGTTTTAAACCGACCTACTTTGCATGGATATCCCAAACCTCTGTAAATTAGCCAATGCTGATGTCATCTTGTGGACACTTTTACTCCAGGTTCCAGGAAATGTGCTACAAAGCGTACCTGGCCATCCGACAGCATGCAAACCTCTTTATCAACCTCTTCTCCATGATGCTGGGCTCCGGCATGCCTGAGCTGCAGTCATTTGACGACATAGCTTACATCCGGAAGACGCTGGCACTGGAGAAAAGTGAGCAGGTGAGTCTGGAACTTCTCTCTGTCTTTCTAACCTTCATAACAGAAAGTTTTCTTTATCTGCTTAGTTCTTTTTTGTTTGTGTGTGTGTGTGTGTGTGAAACAGGAGGCCTTGGACTATTTTATGAAACAGATGAACGATGCCCATCATGGAGGTTGGACCACCAAGATGGATTGGATTTTCCACACAATCAGACAGCATACACTAAACTAATTAAACCCCCAAAAGAAATGCCACCGTCTCAACATGGACTATTTATTATTCTTTAGGAGAGTCGACACTTTTTGAAGGAATTCATTTTTCCCTCAATAGCTAACTCTATAAAACTCTCTATAGAAGTTCATTTTTGAAGCACTTTTTTATATTTTAAAAACAGGGTTCTGGGTTTTCTGCGTTTTTCTTGGATTATTCTTTTGGTTTGCCTTTTCTCTATGGTCTGCTGCTATCGTCAGTGTGTCAGATTTTCCTCAGGACCCTCTGAGGAAGGTAAGCTTGATGAGACTTTTTTTGTTATCCTTTCCCAGAGTTTTCAGTGAAAAAAAAAAAAAAAAAAGAAAGATCTCTTCCCTCACTTTGCTGCGCTGAAAAGAACATAACAAGTTTGGCAACAGAACAAAAGAGACGCCAAGTCTGCTAAGGCATTAATGTAGCCACAAAGTGACTCAGTCATTGTAGTGCTACACTTTTCCCCTACTTTCACCATATGAGCTGAAGAGATGGAAGTAAAGAGTGGGTGTAAAACTGCATCTCTGATCCAACTGAGCTTCCATAATGTCTTCCACCATCCTTGCTCACATATAATTCCACCAGTTAGTTTATTTTCTTTATGTTAGCATAAATTTATCGTTTTAATGTTTATAAAGGAGCTTTCTTCGGATTGACGCCTCCCTTCCCCTCATAAAAGGACTTGGAAATTGTAAAACAATGTGTACAGGTCATTACTTTTTAAAATTAATTTATGGATTTTGTTTATTTTGGCTTGAAAGTCAAAAATGTAACTGAAGATATTTGTTTTGTAAATATGTTTGGAGTTTTGTGTTTGGCTCAATTGCAGCCTCTTTCAGCAGCAGTTCAGCTCCAGACTTTTTATTCATTAGACATACTGCTAATGCATTATTTTGTTTTGTTTTTTTGTTATATAACTTGTCACTTTAAAGTTAGCCATCTTCTTAGGCCTCTGCAGGGGCCCAGTTTGTGCTTATTAACCATTATTATAAGTGAATGTTTCAGTCTTGCATTATATGTACAATAGAAAGTACAAAAAAAGCAGATGCTGCTTTGTTTTGCTGCAGGGATGCAGATTTTCCACCTTTTTCATTTACCCCACGCAGGTCAAATTGAATATTAAACTTACTGAAATGAGATAATCTAGAGATAACTTAAAATTGTAGATTTAGCCGTGGCTTACCTCAGTTTATAAAACACCCTGACTACATATTTATATTTACAATAAGCCAGTTTGGTTTTTAGTCCTTTAAAAAGGAAAATTAAGCATTTATCCTTTCCCATGGCGAAACTGCTGATCTACCAGATCTGTTAGGAGCAATTTGAATCTGTTTTAGAGTTCATTTTTAATTATTTAATCTAAGAAATGAACATGACATATTAATAAATACAGGCACAAGGTAGTAGAGAAAAGGACACTGTTTTCAGAATGCCAAATATCAGGCCCTAATGCACAAAAAAAAGACCAGCATAGTGTCCAACTTCAGTTTGAAAAGGCTAGATTTAGATCAGATCATGCAGGGAAGAGAAATGGACCATCAGCTGGGATAGTTGAAGAACTGGAACCCTGTGGAGGGATTTAAAAGCCTTCAGCAGTGAGCTCACAATTATTGTGACTAAAAACCATTTTGTTAGCATTTAGGCTGTATTTTTATCCTGCTGTGTGCAGGAGTGAGCCAGATAACTTTCACCGGCAGATGTTAGAAGTCGTTTTGCTCTGATTGTGCAAGTCTCACTTTTCTCCACAAAATCAGTCCGTTTTGATTTTAAGAGTTGAACCATTTATGCTAATCTAACTGTCAAATAAGAATGTTTAAGGGCACTTTCTAGCACATTACTTAATTCTTCAATGCAATAAGGTTTTCCTCAGAAACTTGTTTGACCCTAAAAACTACATGTGTACTCTATAGTACACCCAATGGGAAAAAAAAGAGAATTTAAAATACATGCAATCAAATGGCAGCTGCAGACTGAGTTTGACCGCATCAAACACTGTTTCTTTAGTTTTTGCTCAAATGGAGAGGAATGATATCCGAGTAAATATATAGGAGGAATGTTTGGATAGAGAGGGTATTTATTCAATGAGATTTTGTGAACATCTGCAGAATGTTTTTTTGCGGACAAAAAGACACAACGGTTCTTTGTTTTATGCCACAAAAAACAGCTGCAGTGTTCCTCTGGTCAGGCTGCCAACTCCTTGTTTGAATGATCTTAACTCATCTTTCCTTTGCCCTAATCCAAAGTTCCAGTTGTTCCACCATCTTCGGGCAAAAAGTCTGTCAAATGGAGAGACTTTGGTTGGTGGGGAGAGATCAGCGATGCTCACCCACTTCTTTTCGCATGGACAATCTTTGTGGCTTTAGTGCTAGCTAGATTTTCTTTCTTTGTCACCATTATAGTCATTGAGGAACAGGCATTCAGAAAATGTAGCAGTAGGAGTTATCCTATCATCCATATATGGAAGTGCATATTCCATTATTCGCCATTACCTTAAAGGAATCAAACTATTCTTATTTTAAATGGCTAATCCCCTTCTAAAAAAATCCTAACAGTCCAATAAGGATTTTTAATTTTTATTTACTTTCCAAAAGTTGGGGTTTTTCTGTTGCTAAAATTATCATTATATTTGGCCTTTAAAAATAATTTATTTAAGAAACGAGTATGAGTAGCTTTGCCAGACTGTTAATCTAGAAAGAAAGAGAGATTATAGATTTATAGAACTAATAATAATCTAACTGATAATCACATTTCAGTCTACATTTGAATGTATTAAAAAAGCCCTACAGGATTTTTTTAGAACTGCGTTTTTTTTTACTATTTCAGTAGGTTTGACTTGTGTAAGATGCTGAAAGTATTTACTGTAAAAATCAATCATATTTGGCTTTATTATTTACCTGATGGTGCTTTGTGCTCCAGAAATTAGATTATTTCACCAAATAAAAAAGATAAAACATTATCTTTGTAGGCCCAAGAAAGTAAAGTAATAAACTTTGATACTTCACCAGACCAGCCTGTTGAATCAAGAGGCCAAAATAATGATTCAATTTGTAATTTAACACAACTATGTTGTCATAACTGTGCAGCATTACGAGCCTGAATGTATTTTATTGCCTTAGTGGACCTCTGGTTTTGCTCTTTGTTTTTTTGTTTTTAGTATGAGTGAATCCTGTGAAAGCTCATACTGTAAACCATGTTAGAAGTGCACTATATAAACTGAAAAAAAGAAAGAAATGTTGAAACATATATTTGAAAAACTCTTGCCTTTTTGTTTAGAAGTTAGTTTAACTTGCATGTTTCTCAACCATGTATGATGTAATCGTTTTTTTATTTTTGTATATTAACTATTAATTCAAACTGGGTAAATTTGTTCTGTTGTTATCCCATGTATTGGTTCCCCAAAGATCCTCCAAATGATTGTTTATTTGCATGAACTTTGATTCTGTGCAGGCTGCAGAGCTTCATTGGCAGGTTCCAATGGAAAACAAGCCTTTTTGTGAATGTTAGTCTGTGTGCCATGGCACCTTTGATAATGGTGTCTAAGCATTTTGGAAAAAAAAGCCCCCTCTCCACTGGCAATAAGCTGGCAATTTTTTTTCTTTGTATGAAAAAGATTAATAAGGGAAAAGAGAGTTTTTATACATACATTGGTTATACATGTTTTACTTGAAATTCCTTGAATCAGAAAGTTGTTGGTATGCAGCAGAGATTCTTTGTCTATTTAGCACCAATGAGAGCCGTTTTGTGTTGTACTGCATGTTGGCACCGGTAGCTGAAGCATTGTTCAATCCTGGTAGAAAACGTCATTCAAGCCACAGATCTTGGATTATTAGTGAAAACTACCCATCTGACAGGTGACAGAGTTCAGTTTGAATATTTGGAAACTTTAACACCTTTTTAAAGCATGGTGGATAAAGTTCTTCTTCTACTGAAGTGCTAGTTTTTCCTCCCATAAGTCATTACCTACATGCATAAAATGAGCTGTCTGTAGAACAGTGATATTAGGTTGTCTCTGACACAATAAGCATCAAACACACCCAAGAAGTTCAAACCAATGGTGCAATACTAATGCTGAAACCCTGCCTTTGTTAGTGTTTATTTTTTGTCTGTATGCTAATACTGAATTTTTCAATCTTTGTCTCGCATCTCAGGATGATTTCTTAAATACATCCTCACCTTGTTTTATTCCAAATGCACTGTTTCTACTGAGCCTCTGAATGAGCTGTGAAATGTCGACAAAAACTGAGAAAATGTCACAAAACGGATTCAATAAATCTTTTTTTTTTCTTTTTTACATTTTAATCTATACACCCACCAAAAACACACTCTTTGCATGCAGCTCTACATTTCTAAAATGCACTGAGCTGCCCTAAGTCACACCATAAATGAATGTAAAATGTGCCAATGCAGTGTTTCTTCATATATAATCAGTGTGTTATTTTTAGCATGCATTTAAGTAAATATCAACTGATGCCTTAAGTTTGCTCCCTGTAGGGTTCGGGACATATTTGCCTACATTAAGTTGCGTAATGTTTTTATTTATAAATGTTTGTGTTTGCTCTAAATTTGGAGAGGTAATGGGGGGGTGTACCCGGACTGGCTGGACATTTGGGGTGTTCTTTGAAGATGTGTAAATAAATTTGTTAAACATTCATCTCCTTGTTTGTTCTTGTACTGTTTCTACAAAATGTAATCTTCCCTATTACACATTACTACTATAAATCTAGAATTTTTTTCTCATACATTTTTACAAAACAAGCTTAGAAAAAATCCCATGTGGAAATATATTTCTCTTATTCATTTTCCCTTATTTAGATCATGAATTTTCAAAAAAATGTCACATATTTTTTGAATTCACTCCTGATTCATTGTATTATATAAGAAACGGCCATTTTCTGGTATGAGCTACATTATGGATTCAATATAAAAGTGACTGATATAAGCATCGGCATTTGAACAAAAAGCAAATGTCTGCTTGGTTGCTAATTTCACATGCTGTAATTACTCATTACTCATCCTGAGTCCTGCTGTCCATTAGAGCTCTTTATAATTTGGGTCCTTGTTCGGCATAGATTCTTGCATTTGTCAGAGCTATATGGCTAAAATTTCAGCTTTTTATATTTGTTTATATTTGTTATATTTGTTTGTAAACTTGTCTTCACAATTTTAAACCATCCTGATTTCTCTGTGCTAGGTTATTTTGAACTAGGGGTGGGCGATATATCGAGTATACTCAATATATCTCAAGTTTTCCTCCGCGGGATGGCTAAATTGACTATCACGACCATCGAGTGCAGATTTTCATGGCAAGATTGAGTCATCGTATTTAATTCACTGAGGTTTTTTTTCTTCTTAAATTCACTGTGAGTTTAGTTTCTTCCACGTGCTATGAACACATCACTCGCTCCCCCTCCAAACCAGAAATCGTTTTAGTTGAATTTGGCTCAAACAGACAAAAGGGACAAATATCAAAGGCACACACAACGACAAGCATGTGCGTTTACTTAGGTCAACGAGACAGCGAGAACTATGGTGACAGCGGGAGTTTCAGCCAAAAAAGAAAATGAGTCTGAAGAGGACCCAGATGATCTGGTTCCCCAAGAGAAAACAGCACTGCATCAATAATATATCAGTGGTTTGGATTAGACTAGAAGGATGCCGAACAAAATGTGGAAATTTGCAAAACATGCCAACGAACCACTGCCACAAAAGTCTGTTGATAGAGAGGCACTGAGGACAGTGCGTGCCAACTTGAACCGTGCCATCAGATCAGCGGAGCAGAACCACATCCGGAAGATCCAGGATCTCTTCCATGATGCCAGCAACACCAGGAGGATGTGGCAAGACATACGGGTAATTGAAGACTGCAACACACCGTCCCCCCGGTGGGTGCAGCTGATGCTGACTTCCTAAATTGACTAAACTTCTTTGGAAGGTTTGAGGCATTAAACAGCACTCCAGCAATAAAAGCCGTTCTACATCAGGGAGAGGAGCCACTCTGCCTTAACACGGCTGACGTGTGGAACACTAAAAAGAGAGTTAACCTGAGGAAGGCCCCAGGCCCCGATAGCATACCTGGGTGGGTGTTCAAGGAGTGTGTAGGTAAGCTGGCGGGTTTCCTCACAGACATTTTTAACATCTTGCTGGACCAATCCATAGTGCCAGCATGCTTTAAGTCTGCATCTATTATTCTGGTCCCAAAGAATCCTCAAGTCACCTCTTTCAAGTGCTTTAGAAGTCCAGTTCCCCAGTCTCCCCCCAACATTAGACCCATTACAGTTTGCCTGCCGATAGAACCGCTCCACAGAGGACGCCACCTCCTCTGCTCTTCACCTGAGCCTGGCACACCTGGAGGAGAAGAACACCCGCATGCGGATGCTGTTCCTGGACTTCAGCTTTCAGCACCATCATCCCACAGCATCTGATAGAAAAACTGGAACAGCTGGGCTTCAATACACCCCTCTTCAATTGGCTGTTAGATTTCCTCACAAACAGACCTCAGACTGTCTGGGTCGGATAGAACTCCTCTGATTTTATCAGCCTAAGCACAGGCTCCCCTCAGCCCACCTGCCCCCGCCCATCCTCACCACCTTCTACAGAAGCACCATAGAGAGCGTTCTGACCAGCTGTCTCACTACGTGGTGTGGAGGCTGCAGCGCCTCAGACTGGAAGGAGAGAAGAACGGTGAGAACAGCAGAGAACATCATCGGGGCTCCTCTTTCCTCCATTAAAGACATTTCATTCCACCTCTGCGTGTCCAGAGCCCATAACATTATTAGTGACCCCTCAAACCCCAACCATGGACTGTTCTCCCTGCTGCCCTCTGGGAAGAGGCTTCGCAGCATTTGATGCAGGTCCAGCAGATTCTGTAACTGCTTTAATCTAGTCACAAATCGAGACTCTTCATCACACTGTAAACATCATACTTGCACTACACACCAAATCCCTATAAATAGAATTCAACTCGGTGTTCTATTGCATTTTTCACCTTATTAAATTATTTTTGCACTGCTCTGAACCCTCCACTTCAATGCCTTTTGCACCATGTTTCTCCTACACTGTTTACATTTTGATCTGCAATTTATAAATGGAAATGTTCATTTCACTGCTAAGGTGCTCATTCAGTGTCGGAAAAGCTGTATGTATCAAAATTGCATTTTGTATACATTCTGTAAATATAAAATGACAAAGTTTGTCTTATGCCAAGTCATTTATTCCACCACCTAAAACGTCATCCAGCGCAAAATGAAGACTGTTGTAAAAGAGCACAAAAGAGACCCTTTTTATTTCAGGTTTATTTTGTGTCCTTTTTGTCCTTGGTGTTCCTTTTGGCTGCTGGGATGTTCTGTTTTTAAGGTCCAGTGTTGACCATGAAAGAGCTCTAATGTTGCAATATTGTAATTTATGAAAAACTGTGCAGCTGATGGTTCAAATAAAACATTTTTAATTAATTTTAAATTTACAATACATTTTTTCAAACCAAAAAATTACATGTTAATTTGACATATAACAATGCAACTTTAGGCACTATGTGCCTGAAAACAGGTTTGTTATTTTGTGATATATATCGTGTGTCGTGATATAGCCCAAAGGTATCGTGATATTCAATTTTCTTCATATCGCCCAGCCCTATTTTGAACCAAAGAAAAGAACTAATGTTGACTTAAACATTTTTCACAATGTTTGCTAAAGTCTATCTTTCAGCATTTCACTTGGATAAAGATCATTTCTAGAAAGCCGTATATCATCACTGAAGCCTTGAGTACAAGAAAAAAAGTAAAACATATTTCGTCTGGAACACTTTTTTTTTTTTTTTTTTTGTTATACGATACGAATAATGCAGCTTCTTGAGAGAAAATCTAAGACAGCAGGTTTATTTCACTGCATTTTCCCTAGACTTTTTGCTAGGGGGTGGCGTGTGGCCTTTATTGGCTTTGGGGAGGCCTCTGCTGGGCCTTGTGTTGCCACCGGGGGTTTGGGAGGATTGAACATTTTCCAGGGGAAGGAAGGGCAGTGGAACGGAAGATCGTGCGACTTGGATGAAATTGGGCTGTCCTCCTCAGATGATTCTTCTTTGGCAGGAGCCTTGGAGGGGGGTTGTGTATTGGAGGAGACTGTGGTTGAGACGGAGGGTGTAGGGGAATTGGGGGTGGGAGGGGCCACCAGGGTCCTGAGTGGTGACCAGCCAGGGGGGCGGCGCCTAGTCTGAAACAAAGGCATAAATCATCAGATGGAGATTGGAACATAATTTCTTCATAATATGACAGCAAATTGATTATAAAGATAATTTCAGCAATTTATATAAAGTTTGACACTTTGTTAAATACATATAGATTGCTATATTTCAATTGCCCACCCTAATTCATCATGCACCATTTTCCAACAAATTTTTTTTCCTGAAATTAACGTCTTCCACTCTGGTTAATGGAGCCTATGCGGAAGTTCAACTGATGAAACTCATTGCTTTCCTTCATCCACCGGCAACACAGCCAATCAGCTTTGAACCACACCTCCACGGAAGCCAATCGGCATAAAAGTTCATCTTAAAAGGCCTCCGATCCGCACTTGTCTACTCCTGTGCGCAGACGGTGGATGCGCGGTGACTTCATTCAGATCACACCGTTTTAATCCACCTCCAGCCCCTCCTCTAAAGCTTCATCAGAGTGTCATTCCTCCCGGACTCTTACTGCGTTCCCTGTCTCTTCTCGACCAGTCTAGCAGAAGACCGCCATGTTGAACCTGGTTCTGCCAGAGTTTTCTTTCCAACGGGGAGTTTTTTGTCTCCACTGTCGCTTCATGCTTGCTCATCATGGACAAGTTCTTTCAACCTGTGTTATCCAACTGGACTTCCATCTTCCAGGTNTGTATCAATAAATTTCTCCTAATTGTCTTTTCTCTTCGTGTGAGTTTTTCAGATTGAAATAGCTTGGATGCATCAGACTGTAGTCAGCCAGCTCAGCTCAGTTAAAGCCAGAGTACCAGTGTCCACTGGACAACCGTCAAGTCAGCAGTCTTCCACATTATTTTGTAACTAATAACGTATAATTCACAATCTGTTTTTTAGATAGATAATAGTCAGATTTTCCAAGAAAAGTTAAATAATTTAAGTCCCAATCAAAAAGAAATATATCACTAAACACTTGAAATATGTCACTCTGTATACAATGAATTTTTAATGTATGATCTTTATTTTTCTAATAGAAAACCCCCACTTAGATGAAACCCTAATTGATTCAGATATTCTAGTTAGTTTCATAAACACATGTATTTTATTGTAATTGTTCATGAATAATCATCTAGAACTTTTATGGTAAAACATTAATTTTTCCTCTTGGCTGTTTTTTTTATTTTGTCATTTTATTTGAACTTTTATACAAATTCTGTGTCTTACCACATGCAAGGCACCTTCTTCACACTGTGTATGAACCTCTGGCTGCTCGAGTCTCCATGGTGCCAAATCCACCGTAGCGTTACAGTTTGCAAACTCCTGCAATTAAATGAAAACACAATAAGAATCTGCACAAAAATGGTGGAGTCACTTTATGTTATTTGATGTATTTACCTTATTCTCCTCATCTGCGACACACAGATCGTTGAGGTCTTTGTGCTCAGCTTTTGCACAGGTGGTTTTCTTCATATCGAATCTCAGCTGGTACCTGAAACCTGCAACGACCTGCATAGGCGTACACACGTGTAGTTAGCACAGAGCAGGAATGGTACCGATGGTCTTAATTTATTCCCCGTCCCATCTTAGTTTACCTGTCTTGTGGCATGGCTGACCCTGTACAAGGTGAACAGGTGAGTGGAGTTGGAAATGGAGTTAAACTTGGAGATAGATGCTGAAAGAGGAACCTTAAGGTCCTCTGAGTTCTCTTCAATATGTTCAGGGCAGCCCAAACACGGAGCTTTTTCTGGAATAAGGAAGCTGTCTGGGAAAAAGAAAAACAGACAGCATAATGACACCATCATCAGGATAAAAGGACATTAAGCTCAACAAAAAACAGGGCAATGTTGTTCCATGACTCTCAGAAAAGGTGCTGTGGATCTGTTTTACAAAGTAGATATTTACAATTAAAATAAAAGTATTTGTTAGCTTAAAAAGACCAAGACAATGAATCACTCAACTGGGGAGATCGATAAGGGAACACCACTAACTGCCGTATGTTAAAAATGTGATAACCTTTTTAATTTAAGTGTTTTTAATCAAAGATTTAATAAATGTTAGCAAAGGGCATCTAATCAATCCGATCAGCTTAAAATGTGCATTCAGTGGTTAAAATCTAAACATGTCTGCAGGACAGATTAAACTCGTATGACAATATGGCAACGATAACTCCACATAAAAATATATGGACATTAAATTCTTCAGGGACACAACATATTATAGCAGCAAACAGATATTCAGTAAACAGAGGTATTTTCCATTTTGAACTTGAAAAATATTACCACACTCTTTGAAAGTTGCATCACCAAAAAAATCTATTTACATTAGACTCAGGCTGGAGCTTTTAAAGCAAACAGATTAAAGTCTATTTGACAATGTTTTCCATGGAGTGATACTTTTATGCACCTTTACAGATATTATTTGCAGATAACTTTGGTATTTCACAAAAATCAGTGCTTTCCTCACATTCTCCATTTTGAAATAGATCTTTCCAGGAAAAAAAGGTGATAGTGAAAAATCAGATTTAATCTCATTGGTCATGTAGAGACATACGGGTAGAGATAAGGTTCCCAGTAATCTGACTTCTCTGCAGAAGGACTTCTCAGTGACATTTGGAGGGTTTTATCATTATCACCTTTGCTGTTATGGTCAAGAATTGTTTTTTTTATCCAGGAAAACCTGTCCACGCCTTTGTTTCACTGTCTAAAAGCTATACAAACCAAAATGTAGTTTTGTATAAACTCTGTGTATACAAAATGACAATAAAAGTTTTCTAAGTCTGTTTTGTATTACTCAGCTGGCATTTATCATCTATTTACCTTTTTTCTTTGGGTCATTGTTGAATCAAATTATACATGGATTTTGAAAGATGAATCAATGTCGGTATTGTAATGTTTTAACAATTAATGTGTGAATAATTACTTACTTATTCACACATTAATGAATTACTAATTTGTGAA